TAACACCATTATGATGGCAGAGACAGCAAAGTAGCATGACCACATTCTGTACCAGATAAAAGGAAGGGCACATACACCAAAATATCAAGTAAAGTTTTGATTACATGATTTCCAACTACCACATTCATCAACTAAATAATGAAGATACAAAAAATCAGACGAGTTGAGAAAAGGTCTGTATTGGTAAGGAGACTTGCACATTTATGTAATGATGACATTGATACAAAAAAGAACCCCTATGTTTGAAACTCTGGTTCATGAAGGACCAAGTCTAGTTTCAGAATAGCACCATATTCAGAGGGGAAAAGGTTGCTGTTATTTATTTTATTCACAAGAAGACTTCATACCAGGAGATGGAGAACAAAGGTATAAGAGAGAACAGAAAAAAAAAGTAGTCAGACACTTCTAGAGAGACTGAGAAGATAATTAAAAGATGTTCAAGGTATACATGCATAAATTACAACAATTCAAAAAGAAGCCATAAAGTTAATTAGTATTTACAGGTGGTATCACTCCTAAACCAAACTGTCATTTTAGTTATTGCCAGACTAAAAGCACTATTTACTTGACACAATGTCCTGAGGCACTCATGACTGGCAGTAGTGTCTCATTTGTGAGCCTTTAATTCTAAATGTTTGCAAAGGGGTGGGTTTAACCCAAACAAAGCCTGAGAAGCCCAAGACATTCCCACTTCAATGGGGCAGTCAAAGGTAAAGTGGTAGCAGACAGATGCCCATTTGGCCATTATCCAATACTGGAATGCACTAGTAACTGGCTCATGACCCTAATCAGTCTGAAAGTTCTCTCTCAGATCTGTGTTCTTGGGGAACCCTGGCACAGTATACAGCCTGTCTGACTCACAAAGGACTCCCCACCTCTGTCTGAGCAAGAACTGATTAGAGGAAGGACTTACAAAAGACACTGAAGATGCAGCAGGAGACGCATCTAAAGCCCTCCAGACAAGGGTGACAAGAGTGAAGCAACTCCCCTGGTCTCATTTACATGGGAGATGGAACTGGGCGACAACTCATTGTTATAGGAGATGGGACAGGAAAGCACCCTCATTAGCATTCAGAATGGAGAACAGAGATTCCAAGGCAAGGACCGCACTGAATTCTGGGACCAGAGAAGCAGAGGAGCACTGCATGATGGGGGATCCCTGCTCCAAATGTTAATCACCCAAGTCTACACACATCCAGCTCAACATTTAATCAGACCAATCCTAGTAATGACTCCTTTATTGGTACCCAAAACACTGAATCTGCCTGTCTGTATTGCAAGCTTCTTCAGATTAATGCCACCCATAGCCAGAAGTGATCAGTTCCTATTATCCAGCATATGAGCCATCGTTTACCCATAAACCAACCTAGACTTCTACCTTGAGCAAAAAACCCTACCCAAGCTCAGTTTGAGACGTGGTGCTTGGATCCAAAAGCTGCACCAGTTCTACTCTTTCTGTCTGGAATCCCTGCATTGATCACGCTCAGAACTGTACCTGGGGCACCTCGACCGGTCAAGCTTCGCCGAGTGGTGAGACCCCAAAACTCCCTCCCTTCCCCTCCCCCTCTCATTTTCTTACTGCAGGCACAGCTTTCTAAACCTGGACTTTTGCTAATCAAACTTGAGGTAGACTTCCCCAAATATCTAATTGAAACTATGTAATGTTGTAACTATTTTATTAGTCTCTCTTGTATGGCTATTACTACTGGTATCATCATAAGTTCACATACCTAGCAATAAATAACTTTAATGGTCAAGCTGGTTGCTATAATCTCTCTCAACCTCATTTACTCTTCCTTCCCCTTGACCATGAAAAGAAACGTTATGCAGGAACACTTCTTTAACCTAAACCAAAGATCACTGTAATGGCCAAAACAACAGTGGGGTCTGCTCATCAAGGGAGTTACTACTAGGACCACTGTGACAAGAGATTGGGATGTGCTGAGAGTTTTGAGGTGCACGAGGTTATCAGCTCAGAGTGCTAATCGGACCCCGCTCAGATGTACCGAGAGAGAGAGAGCGCGCACGAGCAAGCAAGCAGCTAAATACATTTATTATTGTCCTACTGAAATAAGGGATGAACTGAGTTCAAGGTACATGAGGGTGTCAGCCTGTCAATGTTAAATAATCCAGCCCGACTCAGGTGTGCCCTTTTAATCTGTGCGTGTGTTTGACTCATTTGGTGGTGGGAAGACCCAGCCCCATTGAAGCCAAGTCCTACAAGATAGCTCCATTGGGGGTAAGGATTTGCAGAAAGGAGAGATACAGCTCCATCCAGAAACACAAGCAACACATTGATAGAATTACAGAGACCCCAAAAAGGTATCCCTAATAAATAAGCACACCCCCAAGTGACAGGCAAATCTGGTAACAATGCTAATGTGCAAATTGTTCAATGGGCAAAGAGCATCTCCTGACAGGAGACAGCTCTAATTTCCTGCATAAAGTAAAAGAACATTTGGGGAAAGTTCTGAATATACAGCAATCTCACAGAAATATTGTATATGGAGTTGAAGAAGGAATGCCACGTCAAGGTAAAGATAAATGTAAGATGGTTGCCTGCTGTCTTAGAGAGAAGATATGAATACTGTACATCATAACAAGTGATCATTCTGGCAACAAATAAATACTACTGAAGAGCAAAAACACTTGACATGTAAAAGCATAGAATCTAGAAAGCTGCAACAGAGAGACTAATCCAACAGCATAAACAAACGCAACTAATCCAATGAACCACCAAGGGCTATATATTAGGTCTTTAAAAATAACATAGAAATTTGGAAGAGATGCCCCAGTGACCCAACAAATATGCCATGGTTGAAATTGTCCAGTGGCAATGCACAGAGGGTGCACATGCACCCTCTGAGCGTGCCAGTGCACACCCTGACAGCCAGAATTCCCAGGCTGGTGCCCCCTGCCCCACCAAGAGTGGCCAAAGCAGCAGTCCACTCGCGGTTAATCACGCTCACCCGGAACTGCCAGTGGCGTGCCGCTGGCACTTGCAGGTTGGCAGGATTGGCTGCCAGTCACCCATGAAATTGTCAGTTGAACAATTATAGGACTCTTTGAAGAAAGCAGTAACTAAAAAAAAACTGATTTGGAGAGAGTCTCATTCTGGTGGCTTTGTTTCATATTAGTATTACCTACTGAGTTATATACACTTGTTAGCTTAATTATTTTACTGCTTTATAGTTTTAAAATTTATAATCATATACCTATTTGATTTTAAAAAGGAGTATTTAATAGGCCTTAAGAGAAGTGGAAATGGCTCAGCGGTAGCTGGAAGTGTGGGTGAGTGTATACAGGGCTTCACAAAAGAGGATAGTCTCTTGCAACTTCTTTGTCTGGCATTGGACAGGTACAGTCCAAATCATGAATATTACATTTCACAGATCAAACTACAGGAGATCTGGAGAATGCCAGTGAACTCTGGGGAGTACTCAGGGCAGATGAAACCTATTATTTCCTGACTGGCAGGTCCAGTCATGCGTCATAATTAATATAATAGAGACCAGCCATGCTCTGGAATGGTAAGACTGCAAATGATGAAGGAGCAGACTCTCAGATGCAGAAACATTGTCAACTTGGTGTGCAAAGACTAGCTAAAAGTTTTACAAAGGGAATAAAATACTTTGGCATGATAAGAGACTTGCCAGGAGTTTTACTAGAAGCAGAGACTTAGGATTGAGAACCCTGGGCATTTTTACATGTACTCCGGAGATGTGGGGGCAAAGGGGGTGGGGAATGGGAGTGGGGTGCGGCAGAAAGAGTGGGAGAGAAATGCTTTAATTAATTAGAGTGGCTCTGAAAGCTGCTCTAATTAAAAAGTGCCCAGGGCGTCTTGTGCATCACCATCCCCATGCTTCAAAGAGGTGGCAGGGGTGCTCCATCTACCGTTCAAACGAGCTTTAGTTAATGAGCCCCTGCCAATTTTTGAAGCACAGGCACACTGATGCACAAGCCGTGGAGGCTGGCTGGAGCACAGTAGTTACCATGCTCCAGCAGACTCAATTAATTACAGTGCATCAGAGCAGCCTATGTACAGGTACCCCCTGCGATGAAAATAGGAATTTATCACCCACTACAACTATTACATACAGAAATACTATTTAAGTAGATCTAGATGATGGGGTGGAAAGTAACCTGTTTAAATTCACTGATGACACCAAAATCTGGGGGGAGGTGAGCACGCTAGCAGGGAGGGAGAGATTGCAGAGGGATCTGGATAGGTTACAGGGGTGGGCTAACAGGAACAGGATGCGTTTTAACACGGACAAGTGCAGGGTGCTGCA